ACGAGAAAAAAATTCTTATTCGACTACTCAAATGAAATATTTCTCTTATGACCATGTTATCGTTCTAATTGACCTATAAGAAAAATATACGTGCTAAAATGATATTCGAAAATTAAAAGAAAAGAAATGATCTCAAAGTGTCTAAGTACTCCCAAAAATGATAAGATTAGTCTCATTTCTTTTCGATTACAAATTATGACAAAACGATCTTAGAAAAACAAAACTTATTAACATTAAATCAACAAAATTCGAACGGATCGAAATTCAGTTCACTACAGTTGCACATAATATTTTGGCTTCAAGGGGGAAAAAGCAGACTTCTGTACTTCAGAAGTACAAAAGTACTGAGAAGTACTGAAAAGTACGAAGAAGTACAAAGAAGTACAGAAAAGTACAAGAAAGTACAGAAAAGTACAAAGAAGTACAGAAGTCCACTTTTCCCCCCTTGTTTGGCTCTCATTCTCTAGGTATTCCAATCATAGTTTTTTAAGCTCCATTCTTAAAAAAAGTTTTGTAAAAAAAAAAAGTTGAACTTTATGTGTATTTTAACATGTCTCAGGACTTCTGATGGATATTGTATTTTATTAATTGGTATTTACAATAAAATATTTCCTTGTATATCTCATCAAATAATAAGAAACCTCAATAGATATGTTAAAGTTCAAACTAACAATCAATTCAATTTATTTTTATTTGTCAACGTTTAAGTATAATGTAGGTAATTTTATATCAAATTATAATGTTTTTATTTAAGATTATATTAATTAGAGATCAAAAATAGTTGGTAAACAATCACTTAACAAAAGTTTAATTAAAAATGGCACTGTAACAAAAATAGTAATACGTTTAATACAATTTCGTCTGACAAATGAATTAGTTCATCATATTCATGTTCATCATACAACAGAGTATAATTATTATCATCATCATTATCAAACATCTACAGAATCACCAACAATATGAAAAACACCAACAAATTCAACATCATCAATTCTCAAGTGCATTAATGGATATGCATCATGACTATGATTGGATGATTCATCTGAGTTTGGACATAGACTATTGATTTATTTATTTAAAAGACCAAATGAAATTTGTATTAATGGAATATATTTTATTTGTGAATTTTATTTGAGCTTTGACTAATTTTCTGGGCCAAACATTTTACAAAGTAATATATTAGTCATTTATATCAACATGACTATATCTATAACATTTATAGTCGATTCTTAATTCAACATCTGAATAGAACATTTCTTTTTTTTTAATGAATTATCTTTTTATTATATATATAGCAAAATACAAGAAAAATATTTTTTTGTTCTAAATATAGAAAAATAATGATTTTTTTTAAACACATAAGATGATATATACAACTGCCAGTCGATGAGTAGTTGAGATGAAATAATTTTATTGGGTGGTGATTGTCTTCATATATTATATTTGTTATAAGAATTTCCATTAATCAATAACATCATAAAAATGTTAAGTTATAATTGTTCATGTATTTCAATAGATTTTGTAAGATTTCAATTCGTTTTACTTTGCCAATGTTACAGAATTGAAATAGATATATTCAACAACAAATCTTTTAAATTATCTGTGTTAGTGCCCATTTTGATTCTAACTCTATGTAGTCGAAGAAATATCAAAATAAATCGAATCATTAAATCAATTTTAATAGATTAATTGTTAACAATGTTTGATGATAACATAACTAATGATCACGTTTATTTTTTTTCTGCCATCAACTTTGCAATAAATTCGGGCATTGTACGACGAATTAGAACTTTTTTAAATTATGTTTAACGCTTAAAATAAGCGACAACACCAATTAACAAAATCGTTGATATTGAAATAATCTGCGGAAGTAATGAAATAGAAAAATAAACTATGAATTCAAATATGAATTTATACGTACAGCCATTAATTTTACTGTTTTTTCTGCTTCTTCCTTTTCATTCTTAAAATAAAATAAAGATGAAACACGTTTTATATCGAAACCGACTTACTTTCATTTCCATATACTCGATTCGATCGAGCATACGATCAACCACAGATTCAACATTATGGAACTCGGCAGCAATTAGACGACGGCTGAGACGTCTATTTGATTCACGCTCACGTTCGAGTTCTTCACCAACGTGGTACATCTGTACGTCTGCAGATGAGTGTATATGGTCAGCAGAAACCGGACAAACACCACAAAGTAACAAGTTAGTATTAATTGTATTCTAAAAATATAATTTATATAAAATTATATTAATATACTGATTTCTAGCCATGCAAAAAATGTTAGTTATTTCTTTTTTTTCTGAAGTCATGCATGATATTTTACCGTAGCAGTTGTTGTGTATGATGGAATACTATCACTAGTCATTTGAAATGATTGAAAGCAAAGAAATAGCAAAAAGCAAATTAATCTGAAGTAGGATATTAATACAATCAATATAATTCAAGACTAAACAAATTTTATCTACACTGTAAGCAAATACGACAATGATAATACACAGCAAACCAGAGATGGGCAAGTCAAGTCAAAAAATGACTTGAATCAAGCCAAGTCAAGTCAAGTCTGACTTGACTTGACTTGACTTGAAGATTTTTTGAACGAATTATGACTTGACTTGACTTGACTTGAAATTTTTCAGAATGACTTGACTTGACTTGTGACTTGGCCGTATATAAAAAAGTCAAGTCAAGTCTAAACATGTATATATCTAAAGGGATTTTATTCACTTCAATTTCGGTTTTTTAACTGAAATGTAGTGGAAAAATCGAAATGAAGATCAGCAAATATGTTCACAGAGTGAATTCGTCTGAAATAAGATGATGGCTGTTGAAATACGTAGAAAATCTTTTTTCTCAATTTTTATTGGACATTTCATTTCCCAAAAATCTGTTTAACGGAAATACGTTGTTTTCTTTGTTTTTATAATAATTAAATTAATAAATAATTTAGCAAACGAGAGTACAACTATAATATGGATCAAGGAAAGAATGTTTTCGATAATTTGTCTTCATTTAAAGAAAACACAGTGAAAATCGGGGTTGAACTCCAACTTGACTTGACTTGACTTGAATTTTGACTTGTGACTTGACTCAAAGTAGCTCCGACTTGACTTGACTTGACTTGGAATTTTTAAGAAATGACTTGACTTGACTTGTGACTTGACTTAAAGCGACTCTGACTTGACTTGACTTGACTTGAGTCAAAAAATCGCTGACTTGCCCATCTCTGCAGCAAACTACAAATATTCTAATACAAAAGTTATCCAAACCTTGTCAGCACGACACATGATCAGAATTTGTACAAGTGGAAATTGAAGATAAATAATAAAATCGTTTAATGATAATGAAAAAAAAATGACGCCGAATTTATAAGCAAGTGTGTTCTTTGTCTGGCAATGTTTGTGTGTATTGTATTAACTGCCAATAGAAACACTGGTATTAAATACAAAAACGCCCATGTTATTGAGAACGGCCAATGAACGCGTGTCAGCACGTTCGTTATAGAGTGTACGTGTGTCGAGACGTGTCGCCACGCGTTGACTAATTTTCGTACGTGACGATATGCGCACGGCGGGTATTGTGTCATCTTGAGGGAGGAGAAAAAGAAAAAAGACAGTAAATGTCCATTATTTTAAACGACGAAATAGTCGACGTCTATTATGCACTCACCCAGGTCGAATTCACCCTGTCGAATCCGATAGAAATTCGCCGGAATTTGTCGGAATCCTAACCACAGGATTCCGACAAGTGGTTCTGGATGTCGGAAAGTGTTGGAGTTTCAGGGATTTCGCAGGATCCTGATTATTCCGACATCCGGAACCTCCTGTCGGAATCCTGTGGCTAGGACGCCGACAACTTCCGACGAGTTCCCGTCGGATCCGTTAAAATCCGGTAATTTTTCCGATATAATCCGATATAATCCGACGTAATCCGACAGTCGGATCGAATCACCTGGGGCATTTCCATTTTTTTGTAAAGTGTGAACTACGATGTATACTGACCAATTTGTTTTGTTCGTCTTTTGGAATTATGATATTTTGTTAACTTTTTCAGCTGATTTTTTTAAATATTTATCGTTAGTTGTGTTATTGAATAAAATGAATAAAAAACATCAAGCTGGTTTTTTATATAAATATCGGTGTGAAAGAAGGTTAAATAGAGGTAAGCAGTTGATACTATTTAACAGTTCGAAACTATATAATTTTCTTTAGAACGTTGCAATGCAAAGAGACGCCAGCAGAAGTATCGTCGCTCCTTACGTGTAACATTTGAACCAACGAATGAACTCAATCCTCAGTTGTTGAATACACCTACTCAAACAAATGATAGTGTTGTTTTAAATTATGTGCAAGAAGATTATGCTGATGATGAACAACAACAAAATATTTTTGCAGATGCAGATGATACTTGTAATGAGGCTTTTATTAGTGACGACGATTCTGATAGTTGCAATATTTATCATGGAAATTATTCATGCAAAACAATTTGTTCCACTATCACCGTGGATGATGTAAGTGAAGCAAAACTATCTGAAAATTTAGAAGAAAATGAAGAAAATAATAAATTGTCAAAATTACATCGATCTCCAAGTGATCTTATATATAAATTAGCAATGTTTATACGAGCAGCCAACATGAATAAAAAAATACCAATCGACTTTTAAAAATTATGCGAGAATTTTCCAACATGTAAGTTATTCTATTAACTCTTAATTATATTATTTTAAGTAGAAGAAAAGTTGTTTTATACGACCATGTTCCTAAATGATATTAGTTGTTGTAGGGAAATCCCGGCGACTTGTCACAAGCTCTGGTTAGAAATGAATGTTAGATTTTCTTATAACACAATAATTTATTGTTCGTCTTGCTTTGAGAGACTCTCAAATTTTAAAGATAAATGTTTAAATAATGAATGTAAGAAAAAATCGCTGAAAATAAATTCTGAATTAATCTTATTCAATATATGTGATGAAACTCGACGTGTTGTGAGAATGAATTATCAATTAATTGAATGGTATCGAAAAAATCCAGATAAAGGTCCTGCTTGTGATATTTTATTTGGTATGTAAATACTTTCGTTTCTAAGATGTTAAAAAAAACATCTGCTTTTTATTTCCTTCTAGGTGATTTTAACCAGCATCGTTTATCACAGAAATTAATAAGTA